AAACATAAGGTGCAAAAATTTGTACACCATATCCGGATTTCGCCAATTAATGTCTCTTCAGTGATGTTAGGAATCGAAACGGTATTTGGAAGGCCATATAATTTACCTCAATTTAGGATAGACTCTTGAATTTTGAAGAGTCGAAATAGGATGAACGGATCATATAAACCCGAAGGCAAATATAATACAAGCCCAAACGAAAAAAATATAAATAAGTCTAAATTGAAAACAACGTTCAAACCTATATATTTATACATATAGACACATATTTTGACCTGTTTTCATTTCAGAGACAATGCTAAGTAAGCATCCAAGATAATAAGACCTCCAAGAGCGTAAATTATCGAATAGTAAATATCTTTACGAGTAAGTGAAGCGAGAGGGGGTCTGGTGGTCTTCCCTAGAAGTATCTTAATATATACGTTTTTTGTTTTCGTAGGGGTAATAGATCAACGAAGCTTTATCATTTAACTTTACATCAGGTATTTCAAAGATGTTTGGTCCAGTAACAATACAAACTTTTCTGATTGGGTACCAGTAATAGTTCTGAAATAGAGATTACAGACACATCATATACAGCATCCACAGCCTCATTTTTAGACATATACAATGTATACCCGAATTTGGCTGCAGCGGTCATCTCAATATCTGAGTTTGTGACAAACGAGATGATTTCAATTTTGAATTTATAAATTTTCCTCACCTTAGCAGCAATTAATCATCTTCATTCGCGTATGGACTAACTAATGAGCCAGGGTTCTGTGAAAGAACATCACGTCCTTTTTCTTGAAAAGTTCTTTGGAAAGTACCAAGACCTAATAGATAAACATTCAGTGTTTACTTCACAAATGATTCAGTTTATTCTTGCGTTATAGATTTCGTGTTTTTGGCTTTTGGCGTTCCTGATGCGAGTGGGACCAGAGATGCGATTCGGACACATACCCTTGTATTTATATTTTACTTCTTTTGTTTTTTATCCAGAAGGTGTATAATATTATGCCATTTTGCTTTACTATACTGACAGCATTATCAACTACAAAAACTTTTTTTTTGTTTGCGTCTTTGTTTGATTAATTTTTTGAGTGTGTTTGAACGTTGTTTAATTCAGTTGTGTTGTATAGAATGTCTGTGATGTATATTTACACAGTTTTGTGTTTACTGGATCCCAGTTATGGTCACGTTAACTAATTATGTCTGTTTGGTTTGGTTACCCAATTAGGCAATATTACAGAATATTAAAAAAACTGTTATACAATTTGGCGTTTTAGCTAGCTAGAAAACCATGACAGACGGACTTATATTATTATGAGGCAACTTGTCAGTATGGTATTATCAAATAATCAGATCCAATGGCGTTGAACTATCATAGTAAAAATAAGGAGATGTGGTATGATTGCCAATGAAATAACTATCCATCAAAGTTCAAATGAAGTGGATGTAAACAACGATAGGCAACCGTATGGCCTACAACGATGAGAAAAACCCATACCGTATAGTAGACTATAAAATGCTCCGACATGAAAAATATGAAACAATTCAACTGAGAAAAATCACGGCCTAGTTTATAAAAAATAAAAAATTTACGAAAAATAAATATGACAGTCTTAGATACATGATTTATTTTATTAGTTGTTATTGGCTTTGATTTAGCTGTCAGTAACTGCAAGTACTCTCAGATATGTACTTTGTGTCCTTTTTGTTGTTAGGGATGTATAAATACCCTGCCACGTCCGGTCTGTGCTTTTGTTAGATGTTTTTCTGCTTTGTATCGATCTGATGAGTAAAGCCATTTTTAACTGCTGTAAATAGAAATAAGAAGATGTGGTATGAGTGCCAATGAGACAACTCTCCATCCAAGTCACAATGTGTGAAAAGTAAACAATTATAGATCAATTTGACAAAGTACGGCCTTCAACACGGAGCCTTGTAACATCAATGTCACAGGTTAGGAGGAGGGTTGAAGATCGTATGCTCACCTCTGAATGCCTTTAAGATTTTCTTGTTTCGTTGGGTTGCTGTCGCATTTCCAACATTATACTTATTACAATGTAGTACAAACATGCTTGTATAATTTGTAAAATTCATGTCATTAAAACCATTTTTTAGGCAATGAAACAATATCAAACGGATGGAGATTTTTTTTTTATTTTAAACAATACTTTCCCAGTTTATTTTAACGCTTCAAAATTTAAAAAAAACAGAGAAATGTTCTTTGTGTCAATCACTAAGAAAGAAACTAAACGGTTAACTTGTAAATGTAGGGAATATACCAAGGGGCTTCAATAATCATAAGTCCAATAAAACGGACAGTACCATGGCCAAAATATAAACGACGAAAGAACGAATAACAATAACAAACATTACATAGAAAACTCAAGACTGAGCAACACGAACTCTACAAAAAAAAAAAAAAAACGGGCTAGAACTCAGGTGCTCCGGGAGGGTAAACAGATCCTGCTTAAATATAGAACTATGAGTGCTTACATCCTTCGTTCTAAAACTGAGTGACAAGTGGGGATGGTCAATAATTCTGACCTAACTTATTCATTACTCTTTAATCTCATACATTAAATAAATCATTAAAGACAACTTGAAAACATAAAAATTTAATATAAATAAAACACTTTATCTTCTGAGGACCGCAAGCAAAGATTGAGGATCTGGTTTTTCCGCAGTTCCAAAAACTTGCATTGACTCTTTATCAAGTTCTGCATGTGTAGAGGGTCCGAGAGCTATCATCTGAAATGTATAAACAATACTGTGTAACAATGAATATTGTCATCTGGTAAATAAATATAGCATTTTTTTCCTGAAATTCTTTCACTCACATGGTTTAAATACTGGAGTTATCAAAACCATCTGGAATCTGAATATTGTAAAGTCTCCATTTATACATTAAATATTTTATAATAGTTCTACATCCATTAATCAAGAAGTACTTTTCAGATGTATGCAATGTTGTTGACGATAGATTCTAATATAGCACATTTTATATGCTTTATAAAACTTTACATTGAAGAGCATCATTAATAAACATTGGAAAGGAAGAGAGAAAAAACATGCATCTACTGCAATTAGATAATGGTTTTCGTTTCAATTGTTCTTTGTATCTATTTTTTGAATATTTATTCATAATTCGCCAAAATTTATAAAAAAAAGGAAGTTTTGAGCAATCTTTATACTTTTAATTTGGTTACTTGTTCGAAAATACGACACAATGCTGTTAGAACCAGAACGCACATGCATGAAGCTGTAAATTTTAGTTTTAAAAACCATAAAACAGATGTTTTTTTTTTATAACTTCAGTATTTTAACCATGTGAGTGAAAGCATTTCAGGAAAAAATGCACTTCTTCTTTCGATATATGTAAATTTTAGTTTTAAAATTTGCATATTATTTGAAAATTGCCCTGATATGAAATGTGTTACCATATGCCTGCTTTTGACATGTTCGTTCGTTAGTTTTATCGCCAGCTTTCTATGTTTCCCTCATAAACTTAGTAATTGTAAAAAGATACAAGAGCACAAACAATACAGCATCGCAAAAAAAGACATTATTTTTTGGAATTATTACCTAGATGTTGTACATGTAGCAGACCACAAGATTCATTTGTAATATTTATTGACATGGATGTCAAGATGTGACAGACTTATAGATTTTTGGGTTTTGTTTTCATTGTATAGACGTGTCGGTAGAACATTTTACAAGGTTATTGTTAACAACTTTTATAAAATGTAATAATTTTGTTAATTAAGTGTTTAAAGAAAAATATCATTAAGAATTTAGGGCGCATTACACCAGATAACTGTTGTTCATTTTAATCTAATGGAAGGCAATCATCAAATAACAATGTTAAAAAAACCAACAACATATTGGCTTCATTTCATACCCAAGTACATTTCACGTAAAATTCATCTGTTTTATGGTTTTTACTCTTCAACATTATATATTTTTTTCTTTGCAAAAGATGGAATCTTGGGATAATCCTGGCAGCGCTTTTCTGATAACAGATTATCTCATTTTGTGTTTCAACTTTTTTTTCACGACTTTGGTATATGCAACTTGTCTATAACAATTTAAATTACAGATGAAACAAGAACACACCCAATAAAAATACAATTTTTCGATTAAGCTAAATATATATTTACTGCAAGTGGAATATAGTTTGGGTTCGTAAAGGACTTTTTTCATAGGAAAGTGCGGACTAAAAGAGTAATTTCGTGATATAAATTTTTTTTATATATATTTTCCAGCTTGAATAGTTGTATTTTTATAACTGTTTGGACAAAACACGGTGAAAAACAAGTTTTAAAATTGAAAACGAGTGAAAAGATCAAACTGTTGACACAAAATTATGTCTCGCCTATTTGTTTACAAATTCAACAGAGTACTGTCGATGGGTAGACAACCACACTGTAAGAACATACATTTGTACATAAAATCTTTTCACCACAAATTTCTTCTTATTTTGATCTCTAGCTAGACATTTATTTCTTGTTGAGTACAGAATATCTACAAAATGAGAAATTGTTTACACAAATATTGGAGTCTTTTCAACCTCCTTAGACCCCCCCCCCCCCCCCCCACACACACTCGAAGGGTCATAATTCCGTAAAAGATGTCGCCCATGAAAATTAAAGGTTAACTTTATTCTATAACATTTATTACAACCGAAATTCAGTTCAATATCTACAGGTATGACGAATAAGTTTCCAGACAGCTGTTGGATTTCGGAATGATAAAAGAACGGACTAACAGAGGGACGTTTAATTTCGACTACGTGTACGCATGTTTCATGGGAATTTCTTATAATTACTCCGAAGTAATTGTTTAGCACATAGTAAAATTTATCACGGTTCTATGACGATCATTGTATAAACAATTGACATAATTCTACAATAAAACTACAGACAGAATAAGGTTTTTATTCTGGAAATTAACTTAATTTTTCAGTATACATATATTTTATAGTATCTGTATTCTAGTTCTAGTTTGTGGTATCTGGATTCCCGTTAAATTTTATTATATCTGGACACTCATTTTAGTGTATGGTTTTTGGATTCACGTTCTACTTTCTGGACTCACGTTGTAGCTTCTGGTATCTGGATTCACGTACTGGTTTATGTATCTGGATTCACGTTCTAGTTTCTGGTATCTGGATTCGCGTTCTGGTTTATGTATCTGGATTCACGTTCTATATTATGGTATCTAGATTTATTTTCTAGTTAATGGTATCTAGATTATGGTATCTGGATTTATCTTCTAATTAATGGTATCTAGATTCCTGTTCTAGTTTATGGTATCTAGATTCATCTCCTATTTTCTTGTTGCTGGTTTCTAGTTTCTGGTATTTGGACTCACGTCCTGGTTTATGTATCTGGATTTACGTTTTAGTTTCTGGTATTCCCATTCTAGTTTATGGTATCTGGATTTCTGTTCTAGTGTATGGTATCTGGATTCACGTGTTACTAAACGATATCCGGATGCCCGTTCTTTTATTCACAGAATGTTTTCGAAGCGGAGCTATAAGACACGCCTTTTGAAAGAAAATCGTTTTATTTTTTTATGTGTGAAAACGTTCTAGAAAACTAATCGTTTCATATTTAGAAAAAGTTCACATTCATACAGACTTACATTTTTAAAGGTTGTATTTAATATGCAATGTAATTAATCAACAAAAAGAGCATTTATACACCTTCATCGAAATGGTAAAGATAAATGGTTCTGAATAAGGAAATTCTTTTTTTTTTCTCGTAGAAGACATTCAGACATCTATCAAGACGAAGAACAACTGTTCCTTGGATATAAAAGGTATTTCTAAGTACTAGTAATTTTGTCTGACGTATATCTACCCATAATCCTTTCTTTTCTCGCTGTGTTTTTTCCCCTGCATTTATTTACTGAACTACATTACTCTTCATTATGAATATACTCCGAAACTGAAAATAACAACGATAGCCCACGTGTTACCTTATGTATCCCTTTTTAAAGCTAAAAGTCAATAGAAAGTCAGGTCCTTAAACAAAATATCGTAGTTAAAGCATTATATGGTGCAGTTATATCGAACCGCGTTTCAAAATATTAAGGTGTTTCCTTGGACTTTTGTATTTGTATTTTTTTATAAACTGTTGATAGAGATTTAGAAATAATTCATCATCAGCCATTCTACTACATTTTAGTATGTTTGGTTGCCAATAACCTTAATTCCACATATCAGCAGATAGCTGTACACATATTCCCAGACATTGAATCTTCATTGATTTGGCTGCAATTCAAACAGCAAAATTTGTTGAACCAATTTACCTGATATACGATCGTCTAGCTATCAATGATATTAACGGCGGGAAAAAATTGGTCAAGGGCACTACGATACTACGTTTTCACATAGAAATTCGTTTTAACTCCTCAGATAAATAAACAAATCTAACCACATGAAAGCAGAATCAATCAAGCAAATTGCTATATAGAATAATTTTATCCTAATTCAATAAATAGCATGTATTTTATCTGGATATATTTGCACTTGATCTTAGTAGTACAACCGCTATGTATGTAGTAAGCGTGAAATACTATATCATGTGTACCGATTTTCTTGTATGTTCTGATATAAGCACAGTCATGATAAGATGTACACGCAACGATACATCTTCCGAATACGAGACTTCCCTAATTCATAAACATGTGACTGTTTCACTTTTGATAGCGATACATTCAACTGAAGCCGATAGCGTCCTCTGGGCAATAAGAGCTAGATCACACGAATGACTGTATCATCCCGGTGTTTATGCTGTACAACTGAGTATTTGATTTGGACTGTCTTGATTCGAGCGTCACAGATAAGCCTTGTATACTATATAGATATAAGAAGATGTGGTATGAGTGCCAATGAGACAACTCTCCATCCAAGTCACAATTTGTAAAAGTAAACCATTATAAGTCAAAGTACAACCTTCAACACGGAGCCTTGGCTCACACCGAACAGCAAGCTATAAAGGGTCCCAAAAATGACTAGTGTAAAATCATTCAAACAGGAAAACCAACGGTCTAATCTATATAAAAAACGAGAAACAAGAAACACTTATGAACCACATCAACAAACGACAACCACTGAACATCAGGTTCCTGACTTAGGACAGGTGCAAACAAATGCAGCGGGTTTAAACGTTTCAATAGGCACCACCAACCTTCACCCTACTAATCATTATGTTCATTTTCTGTAACGATAATCAAGAAGAAAAAGAGAGGCGAAAGTGATATTCAAACTCAACTGAAAATGTCATGGCAATAAAAAGAAAACAAACGACGAAAAACCAAACAGTACACATAACACAACATAGAAAACTAAAGATTGAGCAACACGAACCCCCCCCCCCCCCCCCCCCCCCCCCCAAAAAAAAAAAAACGGGGCTGGTCTCGGGTGCTCCGGAAAGCTAGGCAGATGTAGGAAGATTAACATTCTAACCGAATAAGAAAGAATCCAGAATGGGTTAATTACCTGTCATTATTAATTAAAAATTAAAATGAGATCTGAAAGGGTTATATTTACAGAGCACACAACGGTCTTATATATATGTGTACTAGAAATGAATTATAAATCTACATTTAGTCCGTATTACGTGATGATGGACCAAAAAATGGATTTAAAATATTAGAATATGCTTTTCATTCGATAAATGTGTTGTATTACTTACACTTTTGAAAGAGTTCCTAATACATATATAAGATATAGACATATAGCTATAGACCGGTTGATAAACATCAAGTACAACTATTACTTACCAGATACAATATACTAATTGTTTAGTGGTAATTACAGACTACATTTCAAAAATGAACATGTATACCTTATTACATACTACATTGTATATTGTGCATGAGATTGTACTTATATACCACCCTTCAACACGCATTTTGGTCATTTTCTTTGTATGTTTGTTTTGTTTTAACTTTTTGATATTATGCAATATCTAACTTTTCGTTATTACTCACTCATATGACACACTCAAAGGTAACAAGTAACAAACTGTGTATAGATCATATGACACACTCAAAGGTAACAAGTAACAAACTGTGTATAGATCTGATGAGTTCAGTCTTTTATAGTTTCTTATGTTGTGGTGTAACATCACTGTCCCAGTATCACTGTCCAAGGTTACGGGGAGGGTTGAGCGATCACAGACATTTTTAACCCCGCCACATTCTTAATGTGCCGGTCCCAAGTCAGGAGCCTGTAGTTCAGTGCATGGTTGTCGTCGGTTCATGTCTGTCATACTTGTTTTTCGTAAAGTGTTTTGTTATAAATTAGGCCGTTAGTTTTCTCAATTGAATTGTTTCATATTTTTCATAGCTGACTATACGGTATGGGTTTATCTCACTGTTGAAGGACGTACGGTTGCCTATAGTTGCTTACATCCACTTCATTTCAACTTGAGTGAATAGTTGTCTCATTGGCAATCATATCAGCAATCATACCACATCTCCTTATCTTTTATATTCAGAGCAAGTAATTTTTTCAAAGTGTAGGTACGGGCACGGCTTGTCTAGATTATGAACCGTTTGTAATCCGACATGTGTCCCTAGTATACGGAATACATACTAAATACAAGTGCTATTGTTTAAAGGGTCAAGTAGTGAAGTAATGGGATGGCCCTTACAACAGAGGCACCATATCATCAGAGTTCAATTGCGTGTCGTGTTCGACAAAAATAGTATAAGACATTTGAAATGCAAGGCCTTAATTATACCATAACTATAAATGGAAACCAAGTAATGTTATATATTCCGATATTTTGAGTTTTCCGTTTCATAACTTTTATAACCTCTTGATTGTTTTTGTCTGAAGACGCGACTCCAATTATACTTAGCAAATTTATTCTTATCTTACTGAGTACATCGTCTAGACATTCCAATTCATAATATCGCCATATTAATTTCTATAAACAATGATCATCAGCATCAGATTGCAATGTCCACGACAGTATAATTATGCAATAATATCTTGACATTCTATATCGCTCCTTATATTCGGGTTTATAAATTGACATGGTTGTACTAAATTGCTCGTCAGTCTATGGCGCTCATGATTTAAGGCAAAGTTGCTACAATCACGATTTAATTATAGGATAAACAAACATTTTAAGCTTCTATGCACATTTTTATGACATTCTTAATATCCTGCTTAACTGATTATGACTGAATATGTTAAGAGTCTTAAAGGTCAAATCTAGACGAGTTCGTACATGTAAAGCCTAACAATGAATCTATTGAGAAAGGGACGTTAGTAGGAAAAGTCAATGGCTGATCGATTAACCATGAAAAAGACGTAAAGGTCAGACATGTTCGCCTTATAATACTTATATTATCATTAATAATATGATCACACATAGTTGACCTATTACTTAAAACAACCGATTTACTGACCTAAAACGTATCGTTAGCTTTGAACACGGAATCAAGATCATGCTATCCATGTCATACGCGCATATACACTATGAATGTTTTAAATCATAACATTAACTTATTTCTAACAGTAACTAGGAAACACACCAAAGTACGCAATCGGAGGGTTGTTTAGTGTACCGTCAAACGGAGGTCAACGTTACATGACCCTTATTTATATGGTATGTACACCTTATAATGATTCACTTTATTACTAGCATATAGTTGACCTTTAACCTTTAGTAACTGAGGTTACTTAGAAACTTATCTACGTATGAAAGGTTAACGCTATAGTCATGTTTTAAAATGTTATATTGACCCTATAATATAAATTTTGTTTTTACACTAAACGAGAAAATACGTGCACAAATGTAACACCTCTCTGCATGACACACATGGTGTTCACCTATACCATGTGCGTCATGCAGAGAGTCAATAGTTGTAAAAGGAAAGTCATCAAACTTTCCTTTTTATATAATACTACTAACGGTTACTTTTTGGACTGGATTCTATAAGGGTTTATTAAACATTAGTAAGTGCAATGTTTTTAATACAATCTAAACCCAGGTGTTGTATGGGTTCAGTGCAGTACAATCTAAACCCAGGTGTTGTATGGGTTCAGTACAGTATAATCTAAACCCAGGTGTTGTATGGTTTCAGTACAAGTACAATCTAAACCCAGTTGTTATATGGGTTCAGTGCAGTACAATCTAAACCCAGGTGTTATATGGGTTCAGTACAGTACAATCTAAACAAAGGTGTTGTATGGTTTCAGAACAGTACAATCTAAACCCAGTTGTTATATGGGTTCAGTACAGTTCAATATAAACCCAGGTGTTATATGGGTTCGGTACAGTACAATCTAAACCTAGGTGTTATTTGGGTTTAGTACAGTACAATCTAAACTCAGGTGTTATATTAATTCAGTGCAGTACAATCTAAACCCAGGTGCCATATGGGTTCAGTACAGTACAATCTAAACCCAGGTATTAAATGGGTTCAGTACAGTACAATCTAAACCAAGGTTTTTTTTGTGATTTCAGTGCAATACAATCTAACCCCAGGTGTTGTATGGTTTCAGTGCAATACAATCCTATTTTACTCGCAAATAAAAATGTTCGTTATATCCCAATCGATGGGAAATAGAACATGTGTCTTGGGAGCAAATCCACACCGACTTCCTATTTCGTAACACAAAGCTATAGTTGGCTTGAATGTTTCATCTGGAAACACCTCTGTAAGAAACAAAACGAAGCAAATTTTGTTGGTTTACTGAAGGTTATTTATTTGGCGCTTCCGATACAGCATTTGTAACACCCACTCGAGAAAAGAGGCTGCACAACTTCGATTTTTTTATAAATGAGATTGTATTCATATTATTTTCACCAAGAGGAAAATGATTGTCATCAAACGAATTATACAAATAAATGGATTTATATCACGCACGAGTATACGTATCATTAAGTGGTTATAACATTAGAAACATAAGCAAGTCAGAGTA